GCCCCGTTGTGTCTGCCACGTGAGAGCGGCTCGTTATGGGGTGTGCTGTGGTCACTGCACCAGCAGGGTCCCAGCATCCAAGCCCAGCCCTGGAGCCCTTCGTGCTGCTCTGGCAAGAACCTCATGCTTCCCGGCGCTGGATCATAAGTGGTGATCGCTGCCTTAAATCAGGCACCGCACACAGTTTTGCTGCTGCTTCCCTTTGAGGTGCTACAATCCCTCCGCTGTCTCACCTGACGGAGACGTGTGCCAGTGTCCGTGCCAACTGTTTCACCCATCCTCTGCCCCGGCCTTCCCTTTCCTGTGGTCTTTGGTGTTGGTGAATAGCAATACCCACAGGTCACCAGTGATGCCACAGTCCACGGTGATCCTGTGATCTGGCACTGCCGGGTGGGAGATGGTTTGGGGTCCCTCGGTGTTGGGCAGCCTTCCCTCCTGCCTCTCCACCAGCCGGCCTTTCCCAGCTCGTCCCTGCAGGAAGGAGTTTTGAGTCCTGCACTGCTCCTTGGTGCTGGCTAAGCCTGGAGGAGTTGGGGATCCTGGACTCTCTGTGGCAACGGGAGTGTGGAAGTGGTTTGGTTGAATATTGAGATCCCCAAACCCATTTGAACTACAGACCTTGGTGGATGGGGAAATGCAGATTGCTGTCAAACCTGCTTCCACATCACCCAACTTGAAACACCCCCATCCCTCGTCCACTTTCCAGCGTTGTCTTCCTCTGTTCAAGGTTTCCATTCTGTTGAATTCGGTGGTTACGATGTGCCTTTCCTTCTCAGGACCTGTTACAAACGACCTTTCTGCTTTTGTTTATGTCTAACATTTATCTTTATCCCTTCCTCTGTCATACTATAAAACATGAACATATTGCATGGAATACAATACAATAAAAAGTGTGGCTTAACTGACCCGCAGTGGTTCACCGTGCCGCGCTTGGTGGGAGGCAGGAAGAGGTGCCTGCAGAACTAGGGGACCTCGGGCATCCCCAGCTCTGTCACTGCTGGGTTGGGTTGCTTCAGTAGAGAGCCTGTTTCACAGGTCCTGTCAAACAGCTCCAAACAACCCTCCAGTCCATGTCAGCATCTTGGAGAAGGTGAAAGAAAAGGCAGAAGTTGGCAGATTTGCACATTGGAGTACCCAGCAGCTGTTCTCCTACTGCCTAACTCCCCTCCAAAAAATGGAGAAAATACTGCTTTTCCTCATGAGGATCTCATGCAAGAAGAACCCCATCCAGGTGGTGAGGATGGTGGAGGGTCCATAAGACCCTCGCTAGGTTCATGACAAAGGAGTCTTAGTCGCAGGCCTGGTGTTGGCCGCAGCTCCCTGTGACTTGCAGACAGGCATTCGTGTCTTGTCGTCACCTAACCCAGGCGCTGCCAGCATCATCCTTCTCCCATCACAGAGCACCTAGGAGCCGGATAGCAGGTGAGCCCAGCGTGCTCCCATTGCAAATAAACAGGGAGACACGCGCTGAAGCTATTGAATTTTATTTCAGGTCATAGGGCTGGCTGACCTCATGATGACTGCGTAGAGCTTGGGGTGAGTGGGATCACAACTGGTTCCTCTCCTTTGCTGGCTGATCCATCCCTGCTCACACTCACCAGTCCTGCCTGGAGGTTTCAGGCCAAAAAGTCTTCGGAAGTTGTCCTGCAAATGCAGCTTCTTGTGAACAGTCACTCAACGATTGTGTTCAGGATTGTGTTCAGCGGTTTAAGATGTTTGAAAACATTAAGGCATGAAAACATTTAAACAGCCAGCCAGTGGAGTTGCTCCCTGCTGGGCTCGCCCAGAGCAGGGCAGGCAGGCTGGGGGCTGCCTGCGCTCCTCAGCCCTGGAGCACAGTATAGCACGGGCTCCCAGCACAAGGTCTTTACGTTGCTTCCTAAAGCCAGCTGCAAGCTACAGAGGCTGAGGCCAGAGTTTCAATAGCTGAAAAAGCTGAGGGTGGGGAAAAGGGGCGCAGCTTATTTACAGTTATGATTTGATCCAACCTGACAAGTGACAAGAGGCCCCTGGGCTGCAATTTGAGCAGGCAGGAGCGTGGGTTTTGCTCCTCCCAGGAGACATCACGGTAGGTTTGGGTTATAGCATGAAGCTGGGCTGTTGCTGGTAACACGTTCTGTTTACATTCCACATTCCAGACAGGCCGGTGCTCCGGCCTGCCCCAGCAATGCCATCGCTCGGCCGTGCACTCTGCCAGGCTGGGCACACTTCCCAAATGCCTCTTGTTCATGCAAATGCACCACTTACCTCCACCAAAACAGCTGGCCCCCAAATTACAGCTGAGAAAGCAGAGGCAAGGGGGGAGGGGGGCTGCAGCCTGGAAGTGCAGCCTTGCGATGCCAGGAAGGTGGAGAAAGCCATGGTTTTGTTCTCTTTAGTTACATTACATTGCTTGGGAATCTGAGAGCCAAGGAGGGCCCTGGAGGGGCACAAGGATGCTGGAGATGCACCGAGCACCCCAGCACAGGTCTGCTTGGGTGACCCTGCTGTGCTGGGGGTCAGCCCCTGGGGCAGGGTGGGTCTTGGGGGCACCCCCCCAAAACCTCCAGCATCAACTGCTGCTGGATTGACGGGAGCTGGGAAACCTGTGACAGCAGCAAACCTGCATTTTCTTTTCTAGTGAAGTGTTTGGCTATGAACGGTCACTCCCCCTCAGAGAAGCAGTAGTGGTGGAGCCTCTCCATTCCCTGCTCCTCTTTCAGGATGGAGTAAAGGGGCTAAATTTGCCCCAACGAAGCCCAGCCCCTCTTCCCCAGGGAGGTGCCGCTCTGAGCCCTCCATTCCTCCTCCGCCTGAAAACAGAAATCGCCTGTTTCTTTCCGAGCAGGAAAACAAGCCAACGCTTAGGCTCGGGGT